TCCTGCATTGTTATAAGAATCCACGGCAGCAATTCCCAGCACATTCCCAGCCATGGGAAACAAGGATCTGAACGTGGAATTGATATATGGAAAAGTCCGACCCCTTGGCAGAGCTGGGATTGTGCAATTCCTAAAATCCAGCCCTTCCTACTACTCCAGGAACAGGAAAAAACCCCTGCTAAGAAAATATGGATTCGCTGATTTTTTAGGGACTTCTGGCTTCCTCCAGGATATTCTCAGCTTCCCTTTGGGGTTTTTCCCTCTCCTTGTCCCACCAGCTGCTCCAATCCCCAAAACCAGCAACAAATCCACATTTTCCTGGTTTTTTTTTTTTTTTTTTTTTTTTTTTTCCTGTGGGATCCATCCCTCACATTCCCTCTTCCCGCTGGGATCAGGTTTGGGGCTTGCAGGAACCACATTCTGGGGAATCAAAAGCTTGGGAATTGCTGCCCTTCCTGAGCCTCTGGCAGAGAATGAGCACAGGAATACAGGAGGAAAACACTCCTGGGCTGAATTCCACGGGATATCCAACAGGAAGGTGCTTCCTGGGGGACACAGGGATTCTGGGAAGGGATTGGGACATTCCCTTGGGAATGCTGCTCCAGCCCAGTTTGCACTGAAAGAATTCCAGGGAATTATTTCCCACCCCGCTGGTGCAGGGGTAGAGGCGAGTGGGAGAAGCTGCATTTAAGGGAAAATCACTCAATCACTCCTGGAAAAGTGGAAAAACTGGGGAAGGAGACAATTGGAAGCTGCTGTCAGGAAAAGGAATCATTTTTCCATGCTTCCCAGTGGTTTTTCCAGCTGCTTGCAGATGAGTTTGAGGTGGCAGTGGTGCCAGAATTTGGGAAGCTCAGGGGGGGTTTCCTCATGGGATGAACAGTTGGGATTCCCAGAAAAAGCCTCTCCTTCACTCGGGAGCAATCCAGGCTACAGGAATGACTGGAAAAGGGGAGAATCCATGGATTTGAGTGGGAAAATAAATAAAGGACTGAATCAAAAGAAGGAGCAGGTTCCCAGTGAGGGTGTATCCAAGATTTCCAGGTGTTCCAGTCCATCCCAATGTCCACATCCCAACTCTGGGAGCACAGGAAGCTTCCAAGCTCCCTGATTTCCTCCCTCTGGAGCTACTCCAGCTTTTCTATTTCTGGACTCCATTCATCCCCAACCGACTTTCCATAAAAATTCCTGATGTCTCCAGCCTGGAAGCTGGAAAAACCTCCAGGAGCCTATAGGAAGCAGCAAAGCCTCTGGATCCAGCATTCCAAAATTATTATGGAATGAGGGAGTGAGAAGGTGATGTCAGCCTGGATTTAGGGTGGATAATGCATCCCTCTGTCCTGGGTCCATCCTGCTCTTCCCAAAAATTCACCACAACTACAGAGGGAGAAACTTGGGACTATTCAGGGATTTCATATGGAATTTTCACTGTTTTCCCTCTATTCTGCATTCCCAGTTCTTCCCCTTCCCATCAGTTTTGGAATATAGAGCTCTCAGCAAGGAGAACCACACCTTACACCCAACCCAAATTCCCATGGAATCTGCTTCCCAGTGCTCCTTTGGAGTTTCCAAGTTTGAGATCCAAGCTCATCCATTGCTGTCAAATCCAGCAGGATTCAGGCAAATTCCAGGTGCTGTTTCAATATGAATCAGGATTTCTCATCCCTCCAAACCTGGGAGAATTTTTTTGAGCAGATTTATGGAAAAGAGCCAGAGGGAATTGCCTCATCATCCCTAAATTCCTTGGGAGTTGGCGATCCTTGAGGTTGGGATCAGATTGGAGCAGGGACAAGGGTAATTCATGGAATGGAAAGAGCCCCTGGAGCTTCCCTGCATTCCTTGGTCACAGTCCCATCCCAACGTGGGGCCAGATCCACTCCTTATTCCTCTCCACAATCCTGGGATCCCCGAGTTTTGGGACACCACCACTGTTGTCCCCCATCCCTGCATCCCAATGCCCCATCCCAGTGGGAATTTTTTGGAGGAGCAGACACAGGAGCATTGAGCAGGGCCTGGAATGTGGCAGCGGCTGCCAGAGCCCAGCAGCTCCCGGGAAAAGCGCCAGGCCGGCAATAAGGAACTCCACTGTGGATCCCAGACTGGATAAACACACCTCAGCTCCCACCTGGCATCGGGAATGGGGCTCTGACCTCCGGCTCCACTTCCCGCCGGGATAACGCCACCTCCTCTCCCACTGGGAAAAGGCAACGGAGGCCTTTACACATTTTCCAGGTTTTCCATGGAGAAAACAGCAGGAAAACACCCTGAGGAGCAGCCATGGATCCACAAAAGTGACATCCAGGATTCAAACATAATCAAAATTCCAGGCTTCCTGAATTTTTGGGGGATATTCACTTTATAAATTCCTAAAGTGGATAAATCTTTTTTTTTCCCTTATCATTCATCCCGGGATTGTCCCAAAATTTTTCTCCAATATATTCATAAACTGCACAGGAATTTTTGGAAATTCCTTTAGCTCCCAAAAAAAAAAAAAAAAAACCAAACCACAAAAAAAACTGATTTATTTTTTTCCCCCAGGAAGGAGCAGAAAGCTCCGAATTAAGAGAATTAAGAGAGGAAAAAGCTTGGGAAGTTTCAAAGTTTTTGCCTTGGAGACAAGGTCAGATTTTGTCCAAGAACCTGTTCCCAATCCAGGTGTTCCCACAATTCCCAAAAAAATTGGGGTAAGGAGGTTAAAGAGGGGAAAAGGAGGGTTAAGGAGGGAAAAAAAGATTCAAAATTGTTTTTTCTGGAATTTGGGAAGGATTCTGTTCCCAGAGTTCTTGTCATTCCTGGGAATGCCTTGGACATTTTACAGCATCCCAAATCCCATGATTTGGCGGCTCCCAGGAGAGGGCAGCAAATCTCCACGTTTCGGGCTTTCCTCGGGAAACTCGGGAAGGAGCGGGGGGGGGGCGGGGGGTGTTGTTAGGGGGGAGGAGGAGGCGGAGAAATTTGGGAGTAGCCCATGAAAGTGGGGCCTGGAACATCGTGTCTTTTAGAATGCCTTCCAAATATTCTGGGATTGTGTGGGATTAATGGATTCCAAATTGTTGGAGGCTCAGAGAAGATCCAAGGAATGGAAAAGGGATTCCATAGGGGATTTACCTGGAAAAGGAGAGCGGGACCCTTTAAATGGGAATTCCTCCAGGAAAATTCCACCCCATTCAGGGATTCATTAATTCCCAGCATCCACAGGCTCCTCTCCACTTTTCCCACTTTTTCCAAGCCCTCGGCATGGATTTGGGGTCCAGCCCCAGTGAGGGAGCAGGACAGGAATCCCTGGACAGGGATAATAGGAATAAAGAGGAAAATTAACTGGATTTCAGGATAAGGAGAGCTGATCAATTTCCTTGGACACCGGGAAAAGCACATTCCACTAAATTCCAGGATGGTTTCCCTGGAATTCCTTGACTTAGAGGCTCCCTACAAACCCTGGATCTTAAAATCCCAGAACTGCTGATCCCGAAATTCACACATTCCTTGGGATGCACGGAGCAAATTCTGCTTTTCCTTCGGCATCAGAGCAGGTTCCACGGGTGGGATCTGGGGCAATTCCTGAGGGTGAGATTGAGGAGAATCCCAGGATTTTTAGGAGTTGAGATCTTTGCGGGTCCCTTCCTACTGGGGATATCCCAGGATTTTATGGATGCTCCTGAAATGGGAAGAAAGCTGAGACTTCCTAATCAGGGCATCCTTATCCCACAGCGAGGTTCCAACAACCTGGAATTGTCCCCCTGGAGCCAAGGTTATTCCTGCTCCTCCCAAGCCAGAGTTTTCCATGGAATTCTGGGAACGCTATGTGGCTCAAATCCATGGCGGAGTTTCCTCCTTTACAGTAAAGGAGCATTTAAAGGTTTCCTGTTGCTCTGGGAGGTGAAGGGGCCCCATGGAATCTATGGCCTCTTCTATTGTTTAATTCAATATTTTCCGGTCTCTGGCTGCAATGGGAACGCCCGGAGCTCCTGGGCTGGCACCCGGGAATTTCTGTGTCAGCACAGTGGGAATCCATTGCCTTTTATCCCACTGGAACACCCCATAGAATTGGGAGTGGAGATGGGGTGCCAGCATTCCATGGATCCTGGATATTCCCAGCGAGATCAGTGCCAGCTGCACCATTAACCACGGTCGTAGATTTAAGCAGCTAAGAGAAAATCCACCTGTTTTCCCAGGATTTCCAAGCCCAGTTCCCAGGCGTATCATATGGATCTTTATCCCTATTCCCATCCTGGCAGTAGGGCCCCAAATGGGCTCATTCAGCCAGCTCCAAATTCCCAAAAATTCCCAATGCAATGATTTTGGGATGACTGAGGTAAGTTTGCTCCATAATTTCCTGGCCAGGGTTGGGATAAATCGGATAAGGAGGGGCTGAGGGAGAAGGGAATGTTGGAAAAAAGGAGGATCTGGAGTAATTTCATTCCCTACAAGTCTGTCTCTGGAATTAGGTGGGAACTGGGCCATGCTCCCAGGGAACAAAAGATGGGATAAAAGGGAATGGCTCAGGGGAGGTTTAAGTTGGATATCAGGAAAATTTCTCTCCCAGGGCAGCAGTGGACTCCTTATTCCAGGAGGAATTTAAATTCACGTGGATGTGACACTAGGAGACCTGGGTCAGTGCTGGATTAACATTGGATTCCATGATTTTAGAGGGATTTTCCAACTTCAGTGATTCCTTTATTCCATGATGCCATTACTCTTTGATTCCATGACTTCATGATCCTGTGATTCCATGACGTGGGCTGAGCTGCTGCCAGGGATAAGATAACCTGGATCCCTCTCAAAAAAAAAAAAAAAAAAAAAAAAAAAAAATCCAAAACAAAAAAAAAACCAAAAAAAAAACCCAAGCAACTGATTAAAAAAAAAAAAAAAAAAAAAAAAGACGGAATTTCCTCCCATTTTTATTTCTTGCACCCTCATTTCCAGCACAGACTGTGAAATGGGTGACATTCCTGGTGGGTTTGGATGTGGGGCCAGGCCGGGCTGGTCCTCACCTGTCCAAACCCGGAATCCTGGGATGCGGTGCGGCAGGGAAGGGGCTGTAGCGGGAAGGATCCGGGGGCCCTGCAGTGCTGGGAACGAGCGCAGGGAAGGCGGGAATGCGCGGCAGGAATGCGGGATGAGGGATGCGTTGCCAAGGCAACCATTCCTTCTCCATCTCCTACCTCTCCCCGGAGCCACGGGGGGATGCGGCGGCGGGGTGCGGGATTCGGGATGCGGGATTCGGGATGCGGGATTTGGGATTCGGGATTTGGGATGCGGGGGTAGAAGCGGGCTGCGGATCCCGCCCTCCGCAGAGCCGGGAAGGAGCCGCTGGAGCGGGAATGCTCAGGCCGGGAGCCGCAGGACAGCGCAGCCCGGAGGGAGAAGGGTGGAGGGCGCTGCGCTGTTTTCCAGAGGAAATCCTGGAGCAGAAAGTTGCGCCGCGTTTATTTTTTCACTGAAAGCCTGCGGCATAGGGATGCAGGAGAGGGGGAAGATCCTGCGTGTCCATCCTTGCTTTGTCTTTCGCTTTAAAAGGTCCGGATCTTCCCGGTCATCTGATCCAGGTCAAGTAGGACTTTCTGTTGGCAACGGATCCCACCGGAGCATCTTCCCACAGCAGCTTCTTTCCCCTGGCAGGAAGTAGTGAGGCTCCTTCAATCCCTGGAATACTGAAAGGTAAAATATTCCCTGCTGACTTTCTCCTTGGTAGGGTGAATGAAATCCTCGAGATTTGCGGGGGCTCCTTAAGGTGGATGGCATTGATTCCCAGGCAGGGTTGGGATTGAGTCCCAGGCAGGGTTGGGATTGATTCCCAGGCCAGGTTGGGATTAATTCCTGGGCCAGGCTGGGATTTATTACTGGACCATGTTGGGATTGATTCCCAGGACAGGTTGCGATTCCCAGGCCATCGCAGCTGGCTTAAGGAGCCCCATGCAGGGTTAATTCCCACCCCACAGCCTCTGAAATCCCAAAAAACTGGGATGCTTTGGCCTAAGAATGACATGGAGGTGTCCAGGCAGAGAGGGGATTGATGGAGGGAGTCAGGGATGGCGGATGGAGGTTCTCAGTCCTAGGGGAATGCGGCCACTGGGATTTCTGTGCTCCGCAGCCCTCACCCCTGTGCCCTGCCCGCAGGTTGACCCCATCGCCGCTGCTCTCCCGTCCATGGATCACCTTCCTCCATGAGCACGGACGCCGAGCAGCTCTTGGCAGCTGGAATCCCCCTCTGGAGCATCTCCAGTTGGGCCAGCTCTGAGCCGCCTCCCAACAGCAGCATGGCAGCAGCGGCGGCGGCGGCGGGAGAGGCCGGCCAGCCCCCGGCCACCCCGGAGCACGGTGGGAGCGTGGCGGAGATCGCGGGCATGGTGGTGCTGCAGTGCATCTACGGCCTGGTGTGCCTGCTGGGGCTGCTGGGCAACGCGCTGGTCATCTTCGTCATCCTGCGCTATGCCAAGATGAAGACGGCCACCAACATCTACCTGCTCAACCTGGCAATCGCCGACGAGCTCTTCATGCTCAGCGTGCCCTTCGTGGCCACGGCGGTGGCGCTGCGGCGCTGGCCCTTCGGCCATGCGCTCTGCCGGACCGTGCTGGGCGTGGATGGCCTCAACATGTTCAGCAGCGTCTTCTGCCTCACTGTGCTCAGCCTGGACCGCTACATCGCCGTGGTGCACCCGCTGCGCGCCGCCTCCTACCGCCGCCCGCGCGTCGCCAAGCTGGTCAACGGCGGCGTGTGGCTGCTGGCGCTGCTGGTGGCCTCGCCCATCCCGGTGTTCGCCGGCACGGCGGTCACCCGCGACGGCCACGCGGTGGCCTGCGACCTGCTGTGGCCCAGCCCGGCATGGGCCACCGCCTTCGTGGTGTACAGCAGCGCGCTGGGCTTCGTGCTGCCCGTGGTGGCCATGGCGCTGTGCTACCTGCTGCTGGCCGGCAAGATGCGCGTGGTGGCGCAGGGCGTGGGCTGGCAGCAGCGCCGGCGCTCCGAGGGCAAGCTGACGCGCCTGGTGGTCACCGTGGTGGCCATGTTTGTGGTGTGCTGGCTGCCCTTCTATGTGGTGCAGCTGCTGGAGCTGCTGCTGCCTGGCCACCTGGATGCCAGCGCACACAACGCTTCGCTGCTGCTCAGCTACTCCAACAGCTGCGCCAACCCCATCCTCTATGGATTGCTCTCCGAGAATTTCCGCAACTCCTTCCACGGCGTGCTGCGCCGCTGCCGCGACGCCGGCCTGTGCTGCTGCCACGCCACCGATGGGGACGGAGGGGACAGTGAGGACGAGGAGGAGCCGCTGGATTACTGCGCCGCACCCCGCGGGGACACCAAGGGCTGCGTGTGTCCCCCCCTGCCCTGCCAGCAGGACCCCCTGCATCCCCAGCCCTGCTGCGCACCTGGGGCCCTCCTCCCCAAAACCACCCCCTTCTAGGGGACCCCAAAACTGGGGATGAAAGGGGATGCCAGAGGGAGAGGGCCTGTGATGCCGGGTCCGATTACCGGTTGCGCTGCGCTGCTCTCCAAAATAAAAAGCCATAAGACTGGCCTGGGATGGAGCAAGTTCCATGGATGGAGTGGTTATTGCCATTATTCCGGCATCCAGCAGCCTTCACTGGGGATTGGGAGGACCCCAAAATTTTATGGAGCACATGGCCCTCCTGATTATTAAATAATAAATTCCCATTTCTTCCCAAGAGACACCAGGAAAAATCCCAAAGCCCGTCAGCTCTGCTGCATCTACAGCAGAATGAGATCCTATCATACACACCTCCCTCCCCAAAATCTCAAGATTTTAGCACACCCAGGACAAAATTTCCACCAAAAAATACAAAAACCAAAAACCAGGACAATCAAGTTTTGGTGAGTTTGGAACCCCAGGGTGAGGAACAGCACATGGAGGTCCCATGGAGTGAGCCACTTCCAGCTTATTTGAGATTTAACTTTGTCCTTGGAATAGTATTGGTGTTGTCCATTATTTGTGGCTCATTCCTTCCATTAATCCCACCGCGGAGATAACCAGCCAGGAATGTTTTCATCCCTGTGCTGCCCTGAATGCTCCTGGATTTTTCTGGATTTCTGCAGGAATTTTTGGGAAGGGGAGAAAGAACAGTCCCTGAGCAGTTAGTCTAAACCAGATTGGCAAAACTTTATTGGTGTCCACACAGGATCTCCATGAGACAATCCCTCACACAGAGTAAAATTCCAATAAATAAATAAGGATTTACAAAAGGGCCCGGGAGGAGCAGGTGGGGCTGGGAGAGGCTAAAACAGGGAGTGCCAAGAATTCAGTTTTCTGACACACAGTAAGGAAGGAATTTGTGATAAGATAAAACTCCGAAGTGGGAATTTGAGATCAGGGGGAAGGAGGAGGTTTTGGGGATGTGGTGGCAAAACCTCGGATCCATCCAGGAATGAGCAGGGGTTTGAGCTGGATAACAAGGAAAGATCCATGGGAAGCAGATTCTGCAGGTGAAATGATGCCTCAGCAAAGTCTTTCCACTCCCAAACCTTATCCTTTCTTTCCCTTCCTTTTCCTTGGATATTTTCCAAAGTGACACCTTTATATTTTGATATCTCTTTCTGGATAATCACGGATAATTATGGATAATCACAACAGCTCCCTCCTTCCCACTGCAGCCAAATTGTCCTAAAATAAACCTGGCACATCCACAGATTTACAGCCCTCACTCCATGTGGTTTCACTTTAATCCATTCCAAGAGATCCATGGACAGGACCCTCAGTTATCCAGCCTTCAGGATAACGACCTTTTAGGAAAACCACAATTCCCATAAATGCCTCATTTTGATTTTCCTGGGAATTTGCAGCGGAGGTTTAGCATTCCAGGGGAGATGCGTGCTGGGAAGTTCATAGGGTGGGAGGGGAGAATGCTGGGGAACAGAACCCCCCAGTTCTGATCCCAGGCTTCCAAAACTTCCACCACTCCGGGATAATATTTCACCAGCATAAAGCTGCCAGCACGTGCTCTGACGCTCCCGATCCAACGGCAGCCCGAAGAGGACCCCCTTTGGCTCCCCAGGGAAGGATGGAGCTGGAAAACTAGATTCTTCTCAGAACTCCCACACGGTCCGTGGCTGGGAATGAGCGGCGCGCTGGATCCCGCCCCCTGGGAATGTTTTACTTTGGGATAGAGTCAACCCTGCACGAGGGAACAGGGAAAATCTCTTTGGGTGGGAGGGGTCGTAAAAATATCCCAAATCCAACAATTTAAGGCAACAACAGTGGAAAGTCATGGAAGGAACTGGATGTGGTTCTGCAGCACTGCAAACCTTTCCTACAAAACCCATCCCGGCAGCCTTCGTGTCCCTGTTTAACCTCCACACCCCGCAAAAAATAAGGAGACGGAATGGGAATAAGTTGAATCCCCCCTTGGTGACATCGAGCCTGCTCTCACCTGTGGCTTAAGGTGACAAGTGCTTCCCACAACATCTTTGCTCCTCATTCCCTCAGCTTAAAACAAACAAACCCCACCCCAAAGAAAAGCAGGAGCCTTCCAGTCCGGGAAAACCATCCAGCCCGAGGGAGGCGGATTTGGGTCAAGGTGTCCTTCCAAAGTCCCCGTCTTGGTCACACCGTGCTCTCATCCCACGGATTTAGAGTCACTTACACACGGAGTCGTCTCTCCTGGGTTTTTCCTTGCGGTTTTCCCGACTGCTCACTCGGGAAAAGGAAAGCTGAATGCCAAAGAAGGGGGAACGGAGCAGCCTCTGGGTGTCCTGCTGTTCCCGCTCTCCGGCACTAGCATTCCAAGAGCCGGCTGGGAAGCAGCGAGTATTTCTGGGAGTGGTGCGATCACAGCTTTTCCCCAATTATCATTCAAAAATTCCAGCCGGGCAGCGGGGAAGGGGCGGGGGAGGGGGGGTGGTAGTGGGGGGTGGTTAGCGGCGGATAAATGTCACCCACTTTGGCCTCCCAATGTCCGTCCGACGGATGTCCCTACGGCTTCTGTGCCGAGGGGACGGGCTGAAGCCCCAGCTCCTTCTCATGGGGGCCGCTGTACTTGTAATCCACAGAGCCGTGGGAACGACAGCGCTTCCTGGCCAGGTAGAATCCCAGAGCCAGCAGGGCCAGGAGGCTCAGAAGGGCACTCACCGCGATGCCCGCCAGCACCCCGGGGTGCAGGTGCTCCGCTTTCGGCGGGGGCCGGCTGGGGACCGGCTCGTGCGGTTCGGGCTCCAAATCCCCCGAGGACGCTTCCTCGCCATCGCCGTCCAGGATGCAGTCGAGGCCGCGGAGGTAGTAGCCGGGGGGACAGTGGCACTGGTATCCGCCGGGGGTGTTGGTGCAGTTGAACTCGCAGTGACCACTGTCGCACTCATCCACGTCCACGCACAGATCGTCGCCGTCCAGCAGGAAGCCCTCGGGGCACTCGCAGGCCCCTTCGGCGTCGCACACGGCAGGGCACTCGGTGGCGTTGCAGTGCAGGCGGCAGAGGGTGGCATCCCACGGGTCCACGGCGTAGCCGGGGTGGCAGCCGCAGCGGTAGCCGTCGGGCAGCTCCTCGCAGCGCTGCTGGCACGGCGCCTCCCAGCAGGGCGGCAGGCGCTGGCAGTGCCCGTTCACCATCCTGTAGCCGCTGTGACACTGGCACTCGAAGCCACCCTTGGTGTTCACGCACTTCTGCTCGCACGGGCCGGGCTCGCTGGTGCAGTCGTCGATGTCCTCGCAGCTGATGCCATCGGTCGCCAGCCGGTACCCTTCGGCGCACATGCACAAGAAGGAGCCGTCGGCCACCACGCAGTGATGCTGGCACTGCGCCCCCTCACAGGGCGAGCGGCACCCGCGCCCGTCCGGGGCCAGCACCGTGCCCTCGGGGCAGGAGCAGCGCGGCCGCCCGCGCTCCACCGCGCACGTCCCCGCGCAGCCACCGCCGTCCACCTCGCAGGGCCACGCTCCCGGGGTGTCGCGGCCCCAGCGCGGCCCCTCGTCGTCCCCATCCTCGCAGCGCAGCTCCAGCCCGAGGTCAGGGACGAACGCCACGCTGCGCGGAGGCAGCGACTGGAAGTCCGCTCCGCGGGCGCCGAAGGGGGTGGTGTAGGTGATAGGGAGGACGGGCTGGGTGGCCAGGTTAGGACAGCTGTCTCCGTAGGTGTACTGGCAGAGGAAGCCGTCTGCAGGCTCCTCGCAGCGCCGCTCCTCCCAGCTCAGCGCCCGGGACACGGTCACGCAGCGCTCGCCGCAGCGCTGCCCCGACAGTGCCCAGTGGGTGTAATCGGTGCGCTGGTCGCCGGTGACCCAGCGGAAACCGCGGAGAAGCCGGCTGGGGTCGGTGCAGGACAAGAAGGGCGACAGCGACAGCCCGAGCCAGAGCCGCCCCTCGCGGTTCTGAAGCAGCAGCGCGATCGCCTCCTCGGCCACGGTGGAGCGCACGGTCATGAGGTGTCCCCCGCCCCGCTCGCAGACCTCGCTGGCGTCGGAGAAGGACCGGGACGCCCAGAACACGGCGAAACACTCGTCCACCAGGCACTGCGTGCCCGCGGGTGACAGGTCCCGCGGCTGTGCCAGAGCCACCGTCCCGAGCAGCAGCAGCGGCAGCAGAGGCCGCATGGCCCGCGGAGGGGGCGGCCGGCGGCGCCCCGAGCTGAGCATGGGCCGCTCCTCCCGGCCGCCCCCTTTATAGCGGCCCCGGCGGAGGAAGGAAGCGCCCCCGGGGCCGGGAGCGACCGCGGCGGTGAATCCCGGCCGGGCGCTGCCCCCGCCCCCGCCCCGTGGCCCCGGGTCCCCTCCCGCATCCTCCCGGCGGCTCCGCCCCGGCGGGGCCCGCCCGGCTGCGCGGGGAGGGGCCGGCAGCGGCCGGGGCGTCCCGCGAGTGCCGGGGAGAACGGGCTGAGCCTTGGGAAATGGGGGAAACGGCACGGGGGTTTCACAGGAGGGGGCCTCGGGGTGGAAGCAGCGCCGCTGGGAATTGTCACCCCGCTGGGATCCCACTGGGATGTCACTCAGCTGCTGCCACAGGGCCAGCATTGCGGAGGTCACAGCTCAAATCCTGCGTCCAGCTCTTCATCCAGAGTGGAAAGAAGAGGAGTTGGACCGTGTCCAGAGGTGGGAATGGAGCCAGGAAGGGGCTGGAGCACCAGGAAGGAGCTAGGAAAGGGTCTCAGCCTGAGGAAAAGGAGGCTCTAGAGGAAAGCTTTTCCCCCTTCGCAATCCCTGACAGGATGGTGGAGTCAGGTGGGCTTGGGATCTGCTCCCAGGGAATAAGGAATGGGATGAAGGAAAACTGTTTAGGTTTGGTTAGGGAAAACTTCTTTAATAAAAAATTAACATATAATTATGTATTTCCATCTACAGTTATATAATTTATATAGTTCTACTCTTTGGTATTATTGTTATTAAGCAATATTATGACCCTCTCCCCTGTTCCCCAAAGACACCTCAGAATGGATATCCCATTCTATCTGTTTATCCTTGGGGGATCCCTCTGTGCTGCCAGAAAAGAGCCAAGAGCAACCTAAAAGTGCAACCTAAATGTCCCAGGCTCCTCAACTCCACAAAAAGGGGATTTGATGCTGTTTTTTCATGGAATTCCAACAGCCTCGGGCACTGCAATTGTCCTTTGGGATGAGCAGCAAATCCCAATTTCCTCGGATCATAGCAAGGAGGTTTCTTTATTAAACTTTATTAAACTTTAGTGAACTTTATTGAACTTTGTCCTTTCTTAAACCCTTGGTGTTTGTTTTGCCCTCTCACAACCCTGGGTGCTTCCCACAAAACCCTGTGGGGTTTTGGGGAAAAAGGAAGTTTGGAATAACAATAGTAATAATAATAATAATTAATAATTAATAATTAACTCTTATTTAATCCCATTGGACGTTTTGGATCTGCCACAAAAATGGAAAAGAAATGTCTATAGAATTTAATTCCAGCAGCAGGGATGAACCTCAGGGAGAAAGTATCCATGGGGGAGCTTGAAACAAAGAATTTATCCAAGCAGGATCATTCCTAGGAATCTCCTGGAGAGCTGGATAACTCTGACCTTTACTGACTTTAGGAACACCTCTCGTTCCCACAATTTTCATTTCACTATTTCCAATTCTTCTTCCACTTCTCCTTTTACTTCTGCTTCTGTTCTCTGGAGAACACTACCAAGAGAATGCGGAAAACATCCTGGCAAACCACAGGAAAAAAAGGAAAGGAGAGTGTAGTGGAGATGGAAAAAAACCCAAAACAATAAATTTCTGCTCCTGCTGTTATTTTTTTTCAGTAACTGCAAACCCAGATAAAAAATTCCTTGTCAAGGTTTTGTCCAGGAAAAAACAGAGCCTTCCCAAACAATGATCCCACCTCACTGGCCTTGCCCGACTGACGTTTGTCCCTAAAAGATAATTGAGATGGGGTGGGAGGAATGGGATTAATCACAGTTTCTTAATTCCCTTTTATCCCACTGCTCCAGCGGCTGAGTCAGGGTGCCAGCACTGCCCTGCCTGCTGATAGGCTGCTCTTCCTCTTCCCCAATCCCATTAATCATATTTCCCCTGCCTTTCCCTTTGGCTTTGACTCATCCTGGCTGTCCCTGTCACTCTGCTCGAGCGGGCACTTGGAATGCTTGTCCTGACCCCCGAATCTGGGAGTTTGTGCCAATAGGGGGGAGTTTTTGGCTTCTTTGAAGGGTTTTGGGATGAGGTTGCTCTGTTGGAATGCTGGCAGTTGTCCATGAGAGAATGGAAAGCAATGGAATGTAAAATAATACGAAATATCATGGGATAATAGGATCTAAAAGAGGTCTATCCCATTATTTGATCCCAAAAAGAACCTCACGCAGAGCGGCACTGAAATCAAAGGGATTGCTCATGGATTTGGAATGTTGGTCATGGGATTAGGGCCTTGGTCACGGGATTGGAACTTTGGTTGTTGGACTGGGACCTTGGCCATGGAATTAGGACCATGGCCATGGGATTGGAACCTTGGCTGTATGACTGGGACCTTGGCCGTGGAATCAAGAGCTTGGTAGTGGGATTGACAACATGGTCATAGGACTGGGGCCTTGCTCATGGTTTTAGGAATTTGGTCATGGTCTTAGGACCTTGCCCATGGGTTGAGGTCTTTTCTCATGGGCTTTCCTTGTGGTTTTAGGAACTTGGTCATAGGATTAGGATCTTGCTCATGGACTTGGGCCCTTCCACCTGGGTTTAGGGCCTTGCTTGTGGATTTGGGACCCTGTTCATGGATTTAGCGCTTTGCCTGTAGCTTTGTGACTTTTTTAATAGGTTTAGGACCTTCCTCATGGATTTAGGACTTTCCTTGTGGTATTGGGATCCAACACAGCCCATCCCAATGCTCCCACCCCATGGCCTCAGCAGGGATGAAGGGAATGACCTCTGCCCAGGACCACAGATCCTGGGAAAGGCTGAGATCATTCAATAAGCCCTAGGAAAGGATTTGGGATCACCACCCACCTACCATAGTGAACACAAGGATTAGGAGCACCAGACCATGGATTTTTAGGAATATCTTTATTTAAACCCACTAGAAACATATTTTTGTTCAAGTTTTCTTGGAATTTCATCTGGAGAGAGGTGTTGGGATAACTTTATGCTGTAAATCCAAGAGTTTCATTCTGGGAAAGCAAAACACTCATCCATTACAAAAAATTCCTAGGAGCAGGATGAACATCCCATCTCTTCTGGAAGACGGGGCACCAAATTATCCTGCTCCAACTTGTGGGATTCACCGGTCCCTGGACAATTCCCTAAGGAGGCCACAGATCAAGATGTGCTAGGAGAAATGAGACATAAGGTTGAATCCAGGTGGAATTGCACCAGAAGGGAGGATGCTACAGCAGGAAATATTCCATTAGGAAGAATCCAACCTAAACCCTTGGCACAAATTCCTGTCTGTCCCTAGATCCATCATCATTCCCCAATGGAATACATAGAAGTTGCATCAGAAATCAGGATTACCATTTTTTGGGACTAAGCAGCACACCTCAGGTTCTTCCCAGCTATGATTCCACCCTCACCCTTCCTTTCCCTTTTTTATAGCCTTATAGCCCATAAAAAAACCCAAGGTTGTCACTTCCCACAGACCCCAATCCGTCATAATTGCATGGGATTTCCTTCATTGATCCAGCTATTCCCAGTGCTCTGCTGGCTCGGGATTTGGGAATTTTTGGCAGGATTTCCAAGAGTTCTGCTGCTGAATTCCCCCACATTTTCCCAACCAATTCCCCCAAAATTTCCCAACATTTTCCAGCACATGGAAAACATTCCTATCAGCTCTATTTTCCTGTTTGCAGCTCACAATGGGGACCCAAGACAAGAAAAAAGCAGGAAAGGGTTTTCCTCAACACATGGAATGACAGGATGCAGCTCCCTGCCCACTGCAAACTCCTTTGTGTTCCATTCTCATTCCTGGAGCAATTCAGCTCCAGGGACAAAATAACTCAGAAACTTCAGGAAGCTGCTGGACCCTTCAAATCCTGTGGCTGATCTTTTCCAGCCCTTCATAGCATGGATAAACTATGGAGGAGGTGATGCTGGATTTTGAGGAGAATTCCCACTGGAAAGACTGCAAGAGGCTCAAGGAATTTTGGGAAGTACCTGGGGAGCAACTCGGCCCAGAGATGTTTTTTGGGAGTTACAAGTTTTACACAGAATAATCAGCAAATATTCCAATTCCAGCATGTTCCTTACACAGGGAAAGAGGGAAAACACAGCCTGGAGCCGGGAAGAACTCTTCCCCAGAAAAAAAGATCCAACAGGAAAAGCCCAGCCCCCCATGTGGCTGATGGGAAGGAGAGCATTGTTTTCTCTGTTTAGAAGTGGATTTAGGCAGGACACTCAGGAAATAAGGAGGTGGTTATTCCAAACACAGCTTTTCCTACCTTTATGCAATTCCTTGGCTCTGTGATAAGCAGTTTTCCCTGGTTTCAGGCAACATATTTTTAATAAGACCCTTAAAAAAGTAACCCTTAAACCACACCCTGGCTGTGCCTGCAGGGGCCTGCTCGAGCTCTGCTGAGGCACATCCCAATTTCGAACCCTTTTCCATCTCAATTTCAAACCCTTTTCCAGGCGAATGAGGCAAATCCAGAGGGAGCAGTGCACAAGGGGCTGCAGGAGAATTCCAAGTGAGAAGTTTCCCTTTAGGAACATGATCCGATAATTCCGAATTTGCCTTTTGGAACAGAGCTGAGGAGACAAATTCCACCCCATTCCCTCTCCCCTCTCGTAAACCCTTGGAGCAGCAGGACTGTAAATCCCACTGGAACAGCCAGAGGAGCTCACTTTGGGCACAAAGTATTCCCTCCCACCCTTTTATTGGGATTTTTAACCCACTCCTACCTGCGCTCCCCGCAGCTCTCGGGCTGCTCGGGCACCCAGCAATAATTATCGGCCGCGTTTTTGGCCGGCGGCTTCTCCCTTTTGGCCGCCCTTTTCCTGCAAGCCACGAGCGCCAGGGCGAACGCCAGCAGGAGCAGGATGGCCACCAGGCTGCCCACGATGTAATAGAGCAGCAGCCGCGGGCCGTCGGCGCTGTGCTCGTCCGAGCCGACTCCCAGTCCCGCGGTGGGCATTCCCAGAGTACGAGGGATGCTCGTGGTCCATGGGATGCGCGCGGTGCGTGGGATGCCGGAGCTCTGTGGGATGCTGGAGCTTTCTGGGATGATGGTGGAGCTCTGTGGGGTGCTGCTGGCGCTCGGTGGGATGCCGGAGCTCTGTGGGATGCTGCTTGGGATCGCGTCTCCGGGGCTGCAGCCGTGGCCATCGTCGTCCCGGAGGAAGCCAGGCGGGCACAGGCACTCGTAGCCGCCGGGGAAGTTGCGGCAGGCGCCGGGACACGGATCCCGCAGGCATTCATCCACATCCAGGCAGGACTCTCCTCCCGGCTGCCGCTGGAAGCCGGGCCGGCAAGTGCAGCGAAAGGAGCCGGGAATATTGATGCAGAGCTGCGGGCACGCGTCGGGCTGGGCACACTCATCCACGTCGTGGCAGTGGTGGCCAGCGGGCCCCGCGGAGCTGTACCCGGGCCGGCAGTGGCACTGGAAGCCGCCGGGAAAGTTGTGGCACTGGTGCTGGCACGGCCCCGACTCGCACTCGTCCACATCCGAGCACCCGCGGCCGTCGGCTGCCAGGACGTAGCCAGGCTCGCAGCCGCACTCGAAGCCGCCGGGCAGCGCCCGGCAGGATCCCTGGCAGGGATTGGGATGGCAGGAATCCTCGGGAACGCAGGAGGCCATGTCGGCGGCCAGCACGTAGCCGGGTCGGCAGGCGCAGCGCGGGGACTCGCCGGGCACATCCAGGCAGAGCTGCTGGCAGCCGCCGTTGTGGCGGCCGCAGTTGACCGGGCACAGGGGACCCGGCGGGTGCCAGGCGAAGCCACCCCCGTCTAGCGGCCCCTTGCAGACGGCGAAGGCCGAAGCTCGGCCGCTGTCGCACTCCACCTCGGCCAGCGTCCCGAAGGGAGCGGCGGCCAGGCGGGCGCTGCGCACACCGAACGGGGCGGTGTAGGTGACCGTGCCGCGGCCGGCCAGCGGCAGGAGCCCGCACATGCCCTGGAAGCTGAACTTGCAGAGGAAAGCCGGGAGCGTGCTGCGGCAGGCGCGGTCCGCCCAGCCGCCGGGGCCGTGCGGGCCGGGCGGCCGCAGGGCGGCACAGCGGGCGCTCACGCAGGTGACCGCCGGCTCAGATGCCCACTCCGAGAAGTTGCCCGGCGCCCCGCCGGCCACCCAGGAGAAGCCTCGCAGCGGCTCCTGCGGCCGCACGCAGTGACCCCGGGGCAGGGCAAGCCCGAGCCAGGCCGGGCCGGCCCAGTCGGCTCTGGCCAGCAGCTCCCGCAGCCGCGCGGCCTCGCCGGCGCTGCCCACCGGCGCCAGGTTGCCCCCGTTATCCTTGCAGCGCTCCTGGGCGCTTTTCCAGCTGCTCTCATCCCGGTGCAAAGTATAGCAGGCGCTGTCGGCGCACAGCACCTCCACGTCCTCCCCTCCGCAGCTCCAGGCCAGCAGCGGCAGCAGCAGGAGCGCCCGGGTGGCCATCCCGCCGGACAAACGGACAAATGACCAGCGGAGTCACCTCCGGCGGTCACATCCCGCTGTCCCGCCGAGCTCTCCCGAAACACATCCTGTGCTCCCGGCTTTCCTATTTATCACCGGAGGCCGCGGCTTCCTGTAGCGTGCACCTCGTTGCGCTCCCCGGCTTCCCTTTGTGAGAAACGCCTTCACTCTCCTGTAAAAATTTAAGAAATTTAATAAAGGACAGTAGGAGACAAAGTAAAGCAAAGATTATGGCCGGGTGCGTCTTGGCACTCAGCCAAGAGCACACCTTTACTTTCAGAGATATCCCTTAAATACCCTTTCCATTACCTCAGTCTTTTGCATCTTCATAGACCCTTATGCATATCCATAAACCAGTCTATATATTCCGGGAACTATTTCACACGGCCCCTCCTTGGGTCCGCCTTTTTGGAGCATGTAGGTCGCTTGGGTGTGGCTTTGGTTCCTCTTTATCACTTTCACTTTGGTCCTTGGTCCACACTCTCTTCAGATGTCAGATGCTAATAGTTGGCGTATCAGTAGCAGGATCCTCATCGCACGTTCGCTGGATGTTATCCCGACCAAACAGACAGTTTACTCATAACTACATCTGCTGCCACTACTGCTGTGTCTATGGTTTTGTTAATAGCAGAAATAAAAGCAAAGTTATTTTAACATTATACATACAGCATTCATCCTAATATCTGCGAAAAGCCAACAATATAATATGTGTTTATAGCACCTTTCCCGCCGGCTCCTTGCTCCCGTCCCAAAGTTTTGGGTAAAACATGCTGCGTTCCTGCCTTTTTTTTTTTTTTTTTTTTTTTTTTTGTCCCCTCCAAGAATTTGATTTATTCCCTCCGGCAGCAGCTGAGTTTTCCAAGCCCTAATAGGGGCCGGGATTTTTTTCAGGCACATGTTGCTAAAAGGGGAAGAAAAACATCCTGGCTAAAAAGCCATGGGATCTGTGGATAACAGCCTCTAAAAAAGAGGGAATATTTGGTGTGGCCTCTCCTGCGCACGCGCAAAGATTCCAGCACATTTTTCCCTTTCTTTAAATAGATAGACGAGCCCTGAAATAGGAGCTGGGTCGTGGGAAGGTCCTGGGAATACCGGGATGGAGCCAAGCTTGGCCAGGCTCTGGTGCCATCCCAAGCAGCACTGTCCTGGCATTCCATGGATGCAGATTCCTCACTGAATTCTAGGTTTGGGCTGGAAAAGCTCATCCATGAGCACAGCAGGGACAATTCCACTGGAACAGGCTGTTCCAGACTTTGACGCCAAGATGCTCCGTGGTAACAACTGGGCTGATCCCAGTTCCCTCCTTGCATTCCTAGGATTTCTCCTGAAGTGTCACTCTGGCAGCAGCAGATTCAGGATTTAACTCTGGTAGCCTGGGGAGTCTTTTCCTGCTTGGAACAGCCATGAATCTACTGCCCATTCCAGGATTTCTTGGGTTAGCTGGATTTGGAATTCCTGAGGGAATGGCTGTGATCCAACAGAGAAATTAAAACCAGGAATCTGCTCCTTCACTTCCCTCCTAAATAAAAAAGTTGCCAAAAATCCCAATTAAAACTGTGGATTATTCCCAGACCTGCTGATGCACAGCATTCCTGGGAAAGCCCTGACTGCTGTGATATCTTCCGGAATCTCTTATCCGAGTGAATGTTCAGGGAAACACAGCCAACGCTCCCAAACCAAAGCACTGTGGGAAAACAACTTCCCAAAAACTGGGAGGGAGAAACCCCACCTGCATGCTGTTTCTAACTGGATTTATCCAGGATTCCAGGAATGGGGAAATTCTTTTTGACTTGGAATGAGAGAGCTCAGCACAGAAGCAGTTCCCTGCTGCCAGCCCAGGACACGGCTCCGCTGCTGGAAAAAAAACAGATCACGGTTTGTCCACCCAGCTGATCCCACAATTTTCCAACCAAGAACTTCTTCCCACATCCCAACCTGGCCTTTTTCATGCAAAACTTGATTTCCATGCAATCAAGTTTTCCTGGACAAAATCTGTGAATTTTTAACTAGAGCTCCTCTGGATATTCCCAAACTGGGGAAAATCTCAAAATATTTATATATAATTTAAATATGAAAAGTCATTCCAGGATGATCAAGGAATTGGGGAGAATGTTCTTTCTTAGGATGTGTAGGATGTCCAATCACAAATCCTGTCCCAGGGAAGAACTTCTTGTTCAAAACAACAGAATATTCGTGGAATATTTGCAAAAAATAAAGCTAAAAACCTTTTCCAGTGGCTTAAAAAAAAAAAAAAAAAAAAAAAAAGTTTATCCTTCATTCCAACAGTTTAATGGATAGGAAAGTTCCTTCCCATCACTTTTAGGAAGATCTCCATGTTCCAAGGTTATATGGAAATATTTTGGAGAATTTTAGGTGCTGTTTTGATTTTTATTGAATTTTCCACAATCCTTAATTTTTCTTGGATGTTCCCATTGAAAATCCAAGTCCCTGCACTAAACTTTAAAAGAATTCTCTTTCCTAGTCTCCTTTGGCTGAACACATCCATAACCCCCCATTTTCCATAAGAATCCGACCCCAATGATCTCCTGGAGAGCAGAATTCTCACTGAAGGGAATATCCAATATGATTAATTAAAACCAATTTAAAAATCAGGAATTGCTGAAAATGAAGGAATTAGTTTTAAAATGTCACTCAGAGGTTAAAGAAGGAAAAGGGCGTGGAATGTGTGACGTCAGTGGTGACAAATCCCGGGACTGGGATGGGGGACAATGGAGCCAGAGGGGGGGACACCTGTGCAGGGAAAAGAATTGGAGGAACTCGGCTCCCTCTGGAGACATCACACGGACACAGAGCCGGGGTTGGGAAGCTCTGGCAAGGCTCTTGGAATGGGGGAGCTTCTGTTACATTAAATTTTGGGAATTTGGGCAATGTAGAGGAGCTGGAATTAGCAGGGATTTAATGGGAAGAGAATTCCAAGTGCCAGGAAAAGAAATTGCTTTGTTTAGGTTTTCACATCCCTTCTCCTCTGCTCTGGGGATGTCCCACCTGGAATTCTGCATCTAGGTTTGGCTCCCAGCACAGGAAGGATGTAGAGCAAATCCAGAGGAGGCACCAGGATAATCAGAGGGATGGAGCATCTCTGCCAGGAGGAAAAACTGAGAGAATTGGAATTACTCACCCTGGCAAAGAGGAGCTTCAGAATGATCCAATTCTGGCATTCCAGGAGCTGAAGGAGCCAAGGAGGAGAAGAGGGAGAGATTACTCCCAAGGGATGGAGTGACAGGAGAAGGGGAATGGCTTCCCACTGCCGGAGAGCAGGTTAGATTGAATATTAGGAAGAAATCCTTCCCTGGGAGCACGGGAAGGCCCTGGCACAGATTCCCAGAGAAGCTGTGGCTGCTCCATCCCTGGAAGTGTTCCAAGGCCAGCTTGGAGTACCCTGGGATAGTGGGAGGTGTTCCTGCCCATGGAATGAGATGAGGAACTAATATCCCTTCCAACTGAAACCATTCCATGATTTTCTTCATGGGGTGGCTAAATGCCTACCTAGATGGAAATTAAGAAAGGAAGGAGAAGTTCCCATCCCAAATATCCCTTTCCTTCCAGGCATCTCCCTCCTTTTCATGGAAGCAGGGAATTGGTTCCTTGAGTCCAGATTCCACACTGGCATTTTTTATCCTTCCCTCCCTTTATCCTGACCGCATTTTTCCAACTTTGGAGCAATTTCCAGGCTAAAGCTGGAGGAGGAGGGATGTTCAAAACAACCCCAGAGCAAATCCAGGAATTCTGTATCTCTCCAGATAAAATCCCAGACAAAATTCCAGGAGCTCTGTGGGGTCTCTGCCAGGTGTTTTGAGCAGCTCCAAGGAATTTGCTGGATGCCAAGTCAGGACACGATCCCTGAGTTTTGTCCCATTTTTCCAACCCACTTTGTGTTTAAAACCAGGAATTCAATTTCTGTTTCCATTTGGAAGTTGTTGCTGTGATTTCAGGGAGGAGAAATCCCACTGGCCCCCAGCAGATCCATGCTTTGAAATGTCTTTGGGATAGAAGTGAGCCACTGTTCCCAAACTCTTTCCTCCTGGAAGTGGAATGACTGGAGCATAGCTAGAATATTATGCTGGAGAGCAGCTGGAAAAGTGGGACCCATGCCCCTGAAAGTCTTCCATCCAGGAAGGAAAAGCTCCTCAGATCCCAGTGGGAATAGGACAATCACCCTAGGGAAAATCCTCACTCCAAGGGATGTTTTCCCTCTTCCTTTGTCATCTGAAGAATTTTTCATCATTCTTGAATTTTTCATGTGTTCAGAGCTCTAGAATTGCTGACTGGACTGTCCTGGGTGGTCCAGGGTGGGAATGTGGGGCGAGAACAACCTCTCCTCCAGATGGAGCCAGTTTAGGAAAAAAACAGGAATTCAGTTCAAGGCTTCCATGGGGATGGATTCCTCCTCCCATCGGGATATTCTCCAAGGAATATTTCTGAAGGAGCTCTGGAATAGAAGGGGGGAAGGTGAAGGGGAAGATGGAGATCAATTCCCAACCCAAATTCTCTGCTTTTCATTCCAGCAGGAGATTTGGGGATATTAATGTTGGAATGTCACCAGGATACCTGGAGACCACACACACAAACAAACTCTGGGATTTCTCCAAACAATCCAACCCACCCAGAAGGGCTGCACTGGGATTTGGAGTCCAGAGCAGATGGAATGGGGGAGATGCTGCAGCTCTGCAAAATTCCCTCTTATTGCCAAACTTCCCGGTCATCCAGGACGAGCCATCAGGGAATTTGGCAGTTCCTTCTGTTTCTGAGAGAATTCCAACTCACCTCCCCAAGCAGGGATTGCCTAAGGAAATGAAAATTGAGAAAATTTCTGCCCCAAAATACAAAGAAAGTGGAGAATTCACTAAGGATGGGGAATTCCTGTGTGGTTTTTACTGGGATTTGTGTATCTGTTCCTTGGGAGAAGCTGGAGGCAAGAGGGAACATCTTTAGGATACTTCGGAGCTTTTTTTTGCATAAATTGGGATTTTCTGCTGGGCATTCAGAATTTTAGCTCCTCCTGTTTGGTGGCAGAATCAGTTTTCCAGGTGGAATAATTAAGGAATAAATAAAACTAGAACTAAAATTAAATGGGAGTGTATCCAGAGGCAGATGCTGCCTGAATAAACATGGAATAACCACGGGAAGGAAGCATTCCAGGGGATCCATGAGGAGTTGATTCCTTCTTTTTTCCTCTCAGTCTCACACATTTTTTTCCCGTTGAAAACAAGTTTTCCCTGCCCACAAGAGCTGTGGGGAACAGAATTCCCAATTTCCACCTAAAATCAGGATCAGGGTATCCAAAGTGATCCCCGTATTCACCATATGGTGTCAGAGGCAGAATCACAAAGGAAGCAGTTTAAGACCCAGCCTTGTGATCCCAGAAATGGGGACAGGCAGGTCTGGAAAAGATACTGGGATCTGGGGTGGAGGATTTGGGTAATCCCATTTTTCTTTGTGATGTTTAGGACATCCCATGCATCAATCAAAGAAGGTGTATCCATAATCTTTTTTTTTTTTTTTTTTTTTTTTTTCCTGGAGCAGAGTCAGGGAAGCTCTGGGCTCTCTTATTAAAGATAAGAGCTCTCTTATTCCCCACTTCGGAGGCTTGTTTGCTCATCCCACAGAATTCCCTGCCTGTTTTCCTTCCCTCTCCTGTTGGAATTCCCACATCTGTAGCACAATCCAGATTTCCAGTCCTTCCCAAATTCCTGCAAGCAGCAAAAAACAAGGATGGGGTTAAAGCGGGATCTGGGCTCGC